ACTTTTGGTGGTAGGTATTTTGTCTGAGCAATGAGAGAAAAGTAACTAATACAACATGTTGGTTCTATTTCTTTACTTCATAAAATTTTGTTAGAGAATACCTTGTAGCGTATTTTGTCACCCAGTGTTTTTTTTGTTAGTAGTTCAGTTGCTAGCTGGGTTAATATAGTATACTATTTATTTCTGCCAGTAGTATAAACCTCTGATGATGCTCTGCAGAATCACAGCATTTACTATTCACTCCATCACCCAGAGTTTATCAAGATTTTATATGGACTGTTTGATTCTTTCTCTGACCACCTTCAGGAAGCTGATTGTGCTGTTCTTTTCAACCATGACATAAAAAATAAATTTCTTGATAGACTGATTTGATCAAATTCAGTATACTTTGTAGGCACAGTTCTTCAGGCCAGTGTACCAAATATGTTCTGACTCCTTCAAGATGCACCTCAGATCCTTTCCAGAAATCTAGCCTGTATCTCCCATAATCTACTAATCTTCTACCAGGTCCCTTTCATCACATCGTCACTGTTTTTGAGACCATTTCAGTCTTGAACTTGTCCATATCACATTACAAGTTAAGTCATTTCCTTTGGAAAGACTTGAGGCTTTCCTTTCGGTAGGCTGCTTCTTGTCTGTGGCCAATTCCTGGGGCATGATCTGTGGCTAAGGGCAACGGTGTTCTTATCCAGACAGTTAGCTGGTGCTTTAGGACCTAGGCATTTAGTGGAGATGAGGAGAAGACTCAGATCTTCATGGGCTTCCTCACCCAGGACTACCTTATGAGCCATGGCAAGGATGATGAGGTCCCAAAAGCCTTGTGGTACTCCTTCCAGTTTAGCATATCCATTCTGCGAGTGGGAGCTCAAAAGAAGAGATTCCTGGTTTATTTCTCTTTCCTACTAGAACTTAGCCTTAACAACAGATACCTGAGAATAGGATGACAAATGCTGACATTGTTCTCCTTTGAAGAAGAAATTCCTCAGTTGTCATCTTTTTTTTTTTTTTGGTACCGGGAATTGAACTTGGGTCCTTGAGCCTGCAAGGCAGGCGGCAGAACCACTGAGCTAAATCCCCAGCCCTCTCAGTTGTCATTTTAAAAGAGGGAGCTCTTGTGCTACAGGTTGTTCCAGTCAGGAATGAAGAGAGCTTGCTGCTGTTCACTTCATAAGCTATAACCTGGTTTGAGTAGATTTTCTTATAGCATTTTGCTGGATTTTCTTAAATAAATAGTGTTATAACTTGGATAAGACTGACCCTCAAACCAGGCCAGGCATGGCACTGTTAAGTGCTATTATTACTCTGAGTCATGTGTAAATAATTCTATTTCAAATTTTTAAATTAGGGCAGGTGATTTAGCTCAGTGGCACTGTACCTTCCTTGCAAACACAAAGTCCTGAGTTCAATCCCCATTACTGCAAAATTTGTTTAAATTACCTATCACATTTTTTATGAGTCAATATTCAAAGCTCTTGAATAATAGCTAACATCTATTAGAGATTTTCTAGGTTCCATTGTATGCTACGCTACCTTTTTATATCATTAAATCTTTTTATTATAAGATAATGATATTATTTTCTCCTTTTATAAAGATAACACCAAAAAATGAGAGATTGAGTAAGTATCTTCCTGTTTTTATAAAGGGAAGTTAGAATAATCTTAAGAAACTCAAGTCATGTAGCAGTTTACAAGGTGGATTTCCTGTCTCAGAGCAGTGAGCCAAGTTAAATTGATAGAGAATCTGCACCTGGAAGTATGGATTTGAATTAAGCATAACCAGTAGTAACAGCCCAAATTAAGAAAAAAATAATAATTCATTAAATTTACTGTTAAAACCAGAATTAAAATTTTGGTATTTGTTATAATAAAATTAAGACAATACTAGGATGAAAAGAAAATCTGGTAACCAGGATCCCAGATCAGGCAGTTTTACAAGTTGAGTTTGTTGAGTGATTTATTCTTTCCAAGGCTCAACTATTCACAAGGGTGTTGGACTGTGATTTGCTTAGGTTATTGTGCTAGGATAAGAGTAGAAGAGTAATTCTTGAGGATGACTGAACAAAAACTCACTATTAATATGCAAAGTAAAACATTCAAAAATAGTTTCCACTAACTCAAGTGTCTGAATTACTCATCTAACATTTTGTAAATACCTACTGCATAGGAATTGTAGCAGTTAGTGTCCTAGCAGTGAACAAAGTGAAGTCTTCATTTTCCTAGTTCATGTTCTAGTGATGGAAATTGAGAAAATAAACATATATTCTATGTCATGTGGTGATATATGCCATAGGCCAAAGAATAAGCAACGGAGATTGATTGCAATTGGGAAATATTCCATTCTCAGGGTCTCCTTTGCTCTTCTTAGATACACCAGGCTCTCTCTCAAGTTGGTGCCAGCTGTCTCGTCTGCCTGGGCGTCTCATTTGCCTTCCCTCAAGTATCTGCAAGGCTAACTCACTTCTTCCCAGTGAGGCTCAGTATACAGGAAATTCCACTTACTCCTATTCTGCTCGCTACCATATTTTCTTCCCCATAGATCTCATCTCCTTCTAATATATAATATAAATTGTTTATGTCTGTGTTTAATGTAAGCTCTAAAAATGAAGGAGGTTTTGTTTTGTTCAAGGATATAGTATATCTAGACAGTGCCTCATAAGAGGTAATATTCAATGCATAGAATAATAAACAAATTGGTCAGTGAATAAATGAATGAGTTGAAGGGTAGTGACATGGAAAGTCTTCCCTGATGAAGTGAAAACAGTAAATTTTGACATTAAAAAAAACAAGAAATTTTAAAATTTAAATTATGGTACATCCACTTCATAAGCTATTATGTGGCTCTAAAATGACTTTTAAATGACATCTGTGGCTGTTATAAAAATATGAAAATTACTTATATTATTGAGTGAAAACTGAAGGCTACAAAAATATGCTTATGTTATTACAATGATATAAAAAAAGTCCTTTAAAACGTTAGAAATACATCAAAAGTTATCAGTGTATATTATGGTGATTATTGGAAATGTATTATTTGTTATATTTTACAAATCTTTTATAATTGGATCACATTATTTATAAGAAAATAAGGTTTATTGTTTAAAAAGGAAATCTTCACTGTGGAAATCAATATGGAGATACCTTAAACAACTATGATTAGAAGTCCCATTTGACCCAGTTATCCCCCTGCTGTTCCAAAAGAATCATACCACACCAATATATGTGTACTCATATGCCCAAGTGCTCATTAACTGGAGACTGGATAAAAAAGATGTGGTTTTTCTATAAAATGGAGTACTACTCAGCCATCAAGAATGAGAAACTAGAGTCATTATAGCTAAATGGATGCCTTTCAAGGCCATACTCTTAAGTGAAATAAATAGGACACACTTGAGTAAATAATGAATAGTTTCTCTGGTGTGAAAAACTAAAAGTGTAAATAAGGTTCAAATTGTATAATTGATAATGTGAAATAGGAAGAAAAGGACTAAGGGACTAAGGGAATGGGGAAGGCTAAGGGAAAGGAAAGAAGGGAAAGGAAAAAATATGAGAAAAGGAAAAATGGAAACAAAGTCTTTGTAAATAGGGAAGGGTGGAGGGGGTGAAGGGAGGGCAGGGGTATGGGGAAAAAATAAGAACCAAGATACATCATGTAAAGGTACAAGATTCCAATGATCAATGTAAATGTCTTGCATACCTTAAAAGTACCAATAAACTCAGTGGAAAAAAAAATAAATACAAAAAAGGAAATCTTTCATAATACCTCTCTTTCATAGTATTACAAAGGCCTTTTTATTTTGTTTGTAGAAATTAGACCTTAACAATGTCAGAAATTTCTGACAAGCAAGGACTCAGAATTGAAGAGTACACTTAAATTACAAATGCTTCACAGAAAGAAAAAAGGGGCAGAGGAAGTTGAATCAACTCTCTTTCCTTCTTTACCAACAGTATGCATTGAGTTTATCTTTCAATTATATTGTCTTCAGGTGAAGACAATCCTATCCATTAAACATGTCTCTCAAGAGCACAACACAATGAAAAAATGATTATAAACACAACACAGCAAGATTGACCAAGACTCTATTTTATCCTGAGCTGTTCCATTCTTTGGCAATTGAGAGATTATTGTGGATCAACAACATGTACTAAAAGCCCACATACATAGGAGATATGTTATTGCATTTACTCCTCATAATAACTTGCTACAGTGAGAATTATGCTGCCAAATTTCAGATGAAAACATAGGTAATATAAATAATATTTCTCGAGTAATACAACCAGATAGTAAAACCATCATTTAAATCAAATTCAAAGTGAGTCTCAATTCTTTACTAAAAGAGCATATAGGAGGAAAAGGAGAAGCAAACAAATAATTTCTTATAGGCCTCCTTTTCAACAGCACTTCTGGGTTCCTGAGATATCATTTATTAAGGCTCTTTTTAACTAATTTTTGCTTGCAAAGGTCACCAAATGCAGTTTTATTAACATGGCTTCAGCTTTTAGATCTAAAGCATTGACAACTTAGAAAGTTATGAATATTAAAGTCTTTCAAAACATTCAGATGGCCAGGGTCTGTATCAGAAGGGCCCATGGGAAGTGAAGAAGCAGCATATTGAATAGATACCGTTGTGATGAGTGGGGAACAGGTCCCCTCTCTCAGTCCCTGCCCCCTCCTGAGATCCTTTTGGAATGATTCTGCTCTTAGTGAGTACAGGTGGGAAGCAGGAGCTTAAATTGGACCTGTGGCTGAGTAGCAAACTCTGTATTTGTTCTTTTTGTTCGGCCAATTGACCGGGTCATGCCTTGAAGTGACTTGGTTGAATCACTTCATTAGTTACTACCTTATCCTTGAATAAATTGCTAGGTTGAAATTAATAATAATAATTGCTGGCTTTGAAATAACAATAATATTGATATGTACACATGCATGTATGTACATTCATAAAAAGATTGAAATACATTAGTTTTATTTTAAATACAACTTAATAGTCCCATAAGGAAAAGGAGTATACCAGTTTGTACTCCTGGCTCTGATTTCCAACCAAATGAATGGTAAAGTAAAAGGTTTCTATTTATGTTAAATAATATACATAATGTCTGCTTATAATACCTTTCATGAGATAAAAAATGTTTTAAATTCCATCTCCTCACTAGCAGTCTACTTTAAAGGCTGCATAATTTCCTTTAAACTCACTGGGCTCCCACCTGAATGTTTTGGTAGCTTGCTAAAGATAGCAGACATAGTGTCATTGGCGAACCAGAACAGGAGGAAAGCCCAACGCTTCCATGAGCTTCCTTCATTTCTTGACAGTCAGCCCCTTTGTATCCTTGGTAACAATGACAGAAAAATTTCTCCTTCATCATGGCCAGGTCTGCATCAGACACATATCCCTTCGCAGAAAATTCTCCATCTTTAGATAGCTCTATGTGGTAGCTTTCATTATTCAAGTGGAGGTAATGTGAAGCATTCCATGTCTTCCGTACACATCTCCCATTATTCCTGCAGAGATGAAGGCTGCACACCTCAGCTGCTGTGCTCACATTGACTATGTATCTCCCAAAATCAGAGCTCAAAAACTGATTCACCTTGGTACAGTTGTCCTAGAAATGTGAAAAGAAATGGATTTTAGCATGCTTCTGGTACTGACAAGGTAAGAGCTTTTGGACCCATGAGGGTTATAATATAGGACTGTAATTGGACTTAACTGATACCTTGGTTCTAGTTGATCAACTCAGAGGCTTATGGGCAGTATAACACAGGGGTCTCCAATCAAAAATAAGAGAGGTTCAAGTCACAGGAGATGAAGTCATGTCAAAGGTGAACAGAGAACTAAACTTTCAAGTGACCCGCAGAGTGACGGGAGACCTCCCTTTTGCCAACTTACACACTTTTCCTTCCTTCTAATTCTCAAATTAATGGTTGTGAAGAGGAAAACAACAAACACAAACTAGAAATCATGCCAGAATTGCTGTTCTTGGGCAGAAATAGCAGAACTGCAAAGCCTCTCATGGTTATGTTAGAATGTGAATCATCACATCCCACTGCTTACTGTAGAGCATCAGTTGATAGACTTCAGAATGTTTCTGTTAATTATACTTAAACATAAACTATTGTGGGTTCTACACTTTTATGTATAAACCAAAACACAAGAAAGCTTGTAGGACTGATTAGGTAATTTTTCTGTGTGAAGTTTCTGTTGTCTTCTAAACAGAAGCTACCATGGGTTGTGTGTGCAATTTCATGCTGAAGCCACATGGGGCTGAGGTGGAAATATTACACCTAGAATGTAAGGAATGAAGCCTCTTAGTTTCTACTTTTCATCAGATAGAAAAATTTTCACAATGTCCCTGAAGAAATAAATTGAGCCTGTGAAAGCCTAAGAGTATTGTCAGATCTTCATGGTCTTATGAAAATAGTTCAATTCCACCAAGTGTTGAGAAGACAAGTATAATTCAAGGCAAAAGGTGGGGAATGGGGATTGGGCTCAGTGGCACCTCACCTGCCTCACAGGTTCAAGGTCCTAAGTTTGATCCCCAGTACCAAAACAAAAAACTCCAATGTAAATTGTACACTTATTACTGTAAGTACCAGGAATAGGGCTTGTAAGTTCACTATTTACTTGTGGTGCCTAGGATTTAGTTCGGTGGTGCCAACCACCTGCCTTGCAAGCACAAGGTCCCAAGTTCAATCCCCCACACAAAAAAAAAAAAAAAAA